AGAATTTTATCTTACTCTCTCTTGAGTTTATGTGCAGGCTTTTAACTTCCTCTAAACTTATAGCAGTCAGACTCCATGTATCATTCATTATTTTATTTCTAATGAGACCTAACATCATAGAAATGAATATATTTGTTGAATAAATTAATGAATAAGTGAATAAAGAAGCAATAAAACTTGTCCTATTTTTAAACAGCAAATAGTAGAAAGACATTGAATCATTTAGTAAAATTGATACACAAAATTCATATATTATAATGTAAAAACTGCTGGTAATACTTGAATAGAAGTATAATGATATGTCAGCTGTTCAGGGGCTGATGGTTGTAAAATCCCCACTTTTTAAAGTCTAAAGTGAAAATCATTCATGAAATAACAAAACAGAACACAACCTGATCATACCTGATTGTTTCTGAAGGACAATAAGATTAGTAGGTCATTTAGGGTTAGGATTCAACATTACATCTGGTAAATCTTCAAAAAGGGAAACTGAGATATGTGGTTGTTCACTGGAAGGACCATAGTAATTGAGCATAAGAAAGAAAGTGCACAGAGGGAAGAAACAGAAGTAGTAAGCATAGTGACTTGGGTTCTCAAAGAGCTATCTAATCCAGGGGTCCTCAAACTTTTTAAACAAGGGGCCAGTTCACTGTCCCTCATACCGTTGGAGGGCCGGACTGCAGGCCCCAGGTTGAGTTGGCTGCTAAGCAAGACAGGCAACGGCAGCAAAAACACCTGGTGGGCTGGATAAATGTCCTAGGCGGGCTGCATGTGGCCCGCAGGCCATAGTTTGAGGACACCTGATCTAAACTTAACATACACTTCCAGAGAATGTGGCTTATGGAATCTATATTTGGGGGGGCAAGGGGCAATGAGAAAATCTACCTCATAGGTTTGTTGTGATGATTAAATGTGTTATTAAAGCTCAGTGTCTGACATATCATAATCAGCATAAAAGGGTTAGATAAGATTACTTTTCTGATAGAGTGGCCTTCATGTTCTCGTCCTTCCATACAGTGCTACCAAGTACATTAGTAATGTCACACAGTGTAGTCTGCCTGTGGCCCAACTTCATAATCCTCCATCAGTTTCTTGCCTTCAACATTAATTTGCTACCCAGTACTTAAGACAGTGAGCTTTAATTAATCTTTCTGGACTAAAGAATGAAAAAGCTTTTAAAACCAGAAACCAGTGTTTTTCAATAGTAAATCATCACACCTTGTACTTAGAATTCATTTCTCTGTTTTACCTTGATTATAAAGAATTTTTGAAAAGCAAAAATAATTATCTGTATTGAGTACCTACCCTGTACCAGACACTGCTCTCCATTCTCCACTGTTCTTATTTTGTTCTTCCCCCCTGTCCTGCTAAGTGGGGCAAATTGACCAAAAATTAAAGAACTTGTCTAGGTGATAGAGCTAATAACTGGCAAAAATAGGGTTTGAACCCAGGTATGTCTACTTCAGAATTCCACCATGCCCCACTGCACTCACTGCTATGAATGGAAGGCAGAGCACAGATACAGAAGTAAATATTCTTACTCACTGAAGTCTCTTCAGTGTCTTATTTATACACAAAAATTAAACTAACTGGTTGCTTTCATAATACCTCAAGGCAATTAGCCAAGCATTTGTTTTTATGGAGACAAATTTAATGAAATTTGTTTTTATGAGGACCATTGTAATAAAAATAAGCGACTAAAGCTGTCAAATGTTTAAAACATTATTAGCATGGAGTATGGAAAGCTAAGATAGAAATATAAAGCCGATTCTCACAATTTTAGAAGCTTAATTCTTGGCTTACTCTTTATGTATAATTATGTAATATAGTGAAGAATAAATGACAAGCTACCTTTCTCCTCCAAGTGATTCCATTTCTATTTATAAAGTCTGAGTGATAGTTGAAAGGTTTAGGAATGTCTTGAGCTTAAGCAAACTCAAGGACGAATACACTGGATTTCAAACGTCCAAATGGAGAAGGTTCTTGGCCCCTCAGACTGTTTCAATCAGAGGAGTCCTCTTTTATTTCATATTCTTGGCTTTTGTATAAGCTCACCTTTGAAAAAGAAGGTTGAGATGCTTCAAAGTTACATTTTTACACAGGGTTTGTATTGAGACAATCATATTCTGTTGTACTGAGATTTACTTGGGTTTTAGGGTTGCAAGATACTCTTCAGTTGCTGTAACCAGAGCCCTCAGCAAAACTGCAAATCTGGAAATTTGTGTTTCTATAACTCTGCATATTCATCCTGCAGGTGCTCGGGGCTGCCATTCAGTCAGGACTGCCCCATGCACTGCACAGGTTAGCGGGCCTCAGTGGCATCACGTTCTGTGAAAAGAATGTTCCTGCTACAAAGTGAAGTGTTTGCGAATAACACCCTCTCTGAGCTACAAACTTGCCTCCAGCTATTCAATACCTCACTCCAAACAGGCACCTATAGTCTCTAAAGTATTTATTCTGAAGTTCTTTCCCAATTTTCTTTCCTTTTTAAAAGAAATCCAGGCAGATAGGAATGACTGCTGGGTTTTAAAACTCCCAAGGACTTTGTATTTTAAAGGAAGTAATTGCTAATCCAAATCAAACTAATTTATAGCATAAATAGAGAAGGTGTTTTTAAGACAGGAAGCATTACATTCCTAAGTGCCCCTTTGTCCACTCTGGGTTGTCAGCACCCCAGTTGGGAGCTACATGTTAAGTGAAACAGGTCACAGCTGGGTCTTCTTTTAAAAGAATGCCAAACCGTTTTGGCCTCAGTACAGTTCCAGACTCATTCAGTTAGGTTTGTGTCTGTGAGAAATTGAAAAGGTGACTTGTTCAGTAAATGGGATAGGCAGCTCGGACCACGTAAACTTCTTATTCCTACTACTAGTAAACTCCTCAGGAACAAAACCTCTGACCTTTTCATTCTCCAGAGAGTGCTGGTCCGGAGTGGGTAGAGAATTACTTAAGGTCACATGACTAATTAATGACAGGACCAAGAATAGAACTTAGGTTTTCTCAGGCTCTGTATCAATTTATTTCCGTTCTACCACTATTTCAGTTATCTGTTGCTACGTAACAAACCACTCTAAAATGTAGTACCTTAAGACAGCAACACTGTTGTTGCTCATGGGTCTATGGTTCAGGCATTTGGACAGGGCTCAGTTAGGCTATTCTTCTGCTTTACCTGGTATTGACTGGGTCACTTATTGTAGCTGGTTTGGGATGAAAGGTCCAGAAAAAGTTCATCCATGTGTCAAGAAATTCATTATTTCTCACGTGCCTTCTTTCTCTCCATTTATTCTCTCCTTTCTTTCCATAGTCTAAAATGAACTTCTTTATAGCATGGTAGTTATCTTCTAGTGAAATCAAAAGCTAGCAGGCCTCTTGAACTCACTCAAATTTGATAATTTGACATTTGCTACATTCTCTGGATCAAGGCAAATTACAAGATCAGTCCAGATTCAAGGACAGTGGAAATACATACCCCCTCTACCCCACCCCCTTTTTTAAATAAGAGACAGTGTCTCACTGTGTTACCCAAATAGCTCACTATAACTTAGAACTCCCAGGCTGAAACAATCCTCCTGTCTCGGCCTCCCAGCAGGCTGGTATTACAGGCATGAACCACCTTGCCTAATCATTACCTCTTCATGAATAGAGCAACATGTACATTCAGGGAGGAATGGAATTGATGGTGGCCATCTTTGAAGACTAACCACAACCATAGTTAACCAGCTGATGGACACTTCTTTCTTTAATTCCTACAGTTCCTGATAGACCACAGAAATTCAAGCCTGTGCAAAAACGAAGGAGAAAAATAAGAAAATACCCTGAAAGACCCATCCTTTTCTATCTTAATGCTCAGCTGAAGAGTTAGGAAGGCAGCACTGCTTCCCACGGTCCCCTAGAATCATCCTTTGGGTGACTTCTTAGGAGAGGCTGCTGCACTTTGTGGCAGGGTGAAGAACATGGTAGTGCTTGTATAATCCTACCATGGTCATTTCACAGTAATTTGCTTTTTAGAGATACTCCTGCATCTGTTTTCTGTGTCAGGCATTTCAATACTCATAAGGGCTGCTTCTCCAGGCAACAGTCAAATACAATACTTTTCAGTGCTGCTTATGTGTATTGTTAAAATGGAATACATCTGCAAGCATCCTTTTCAACTGTCACTATGTACAAGTCAAATTATCCTCATTCTATAAGAAAAAACACCTAAGTAGGTTTTCCCTTCCGGCTTTTTAATGACTCAGAGGAGTCTTATGTGAAAGGAAAAATTGATTTTCTAGCCTAAGACAGCTCTGGCAACATCTTTTCTTCCTATTTTATCTAACTTGGTTTAAAATATGCTAAACAATTAGGATTATTCTTTTTCTCTGAGAAAATCTCCCATGATCATCTAAATTTCCTTGGGAAAGTTTTTTACACATATTATCTTTTTCTTTAAAAAAAAAAGTTATCCTTTTGCTAGATTATTTTTTACTAGTTGGGTAAATTTCTCAATACAGAGTACTTTTTTCTAGAAACAAATAAATAAATAGTGTCCTATCAAGAGAAAAAGTGTAAGAGCAGCTACTTATGAGCTTGTGGGGCAAAATTCTTCCAAGTGCTATGGGAAATCTCAAATCTTATCATTGTCTGGAAATGTGTGTCAAGAAAAAAATGTAATTTTTTTGTACCAACTGCCTAGGAATATGGACCTCTGAAATCCAGATTACCTTCTCAATTTGCTCAATATTTATTGAAGATATTTTACATCCTTCCTTAATACAAGGTTACATGTGCAGTTATACATGGCACAAAGCTAAAATTGAATTAGGAAAACTCCAGACTTTTCAAATCTCTATTTTGTCCTTTTTCTGTTTTATTGATGGGGCAGTGATGGGTTTGTTTTTGTTTACTTGCTGTTTTCTTTTGTTTTATCTAGATTTAAAAAGAGATTATACCTCAGTAAAATAGCCTAGATCATTTGGGGAACTTTTCTTTAAATTTCCATATCTTTATCCCTTTTGTTTTAGGAAGAAGAATTAGAAGCACAAATTTCTTTCCTTCAAGGACAGCTGAATGACCTGGATGCTATGTGCAAATACTGTGCAAAGGCAATGGACACTCATCTTGGTGAGTGAATTACATTGGCCCTGGTGGTAATGATGATAATCATAACAATAATAGCCACCAGCATTACCGTGTGCTAGGTCCTCTGTTAAGTGGATTTTTTTTTCTTCTTTTGAGAGAGTCTTACTATGTCACCCTCAGTCAGTGATTCTCTTGCCTCAGCTTCCCAAGTAGCTGGGGGGACTACAGGCACCCGCCACAATACCTGGCTATTTTTTGGTTTTGGTTGTTGTTGTTTAGCAGGCCCGGGCCGGGTTCGAACCTACCAGCTCTGGTGTATGTGGCTGATGCCCTAGCCACTGAACTACAGGCGCCAAGCCTGTTAAGCTGTTTATATGAATTATCTCATTTAATCCTCACAACAGCCCTGTAGTAGAAATAGGTTACTAACCACATTACACAGATGAGGAAACTGAAGCACAGAAGCACAGGGGAATTAAAAAGTGTCCCAAGATTTTATCACTAGTTATATGGAGTAGAAATTCAAAATCAAGCAGTCTGACTATGGATTTCGACTAATACTGCTACATTGCCCTTTGTAAATGTCCATCTACCTCAGATCAAAATGAAATGTGCTGCTTTCAAGCTGAAATAATCAGCTATACTGCGATACCAGTCTGCCTACAAATCACTAGTGTGATTATTATTTTGACAGTGCTTTCTTTATATTTTTAAATGTGTATTTTTTTAACTACCTACCTGAAATACATGACCTTTTCTTACTTTTTATGGTGCATATATTCTAAGAAATGTCCTGGTTTAGGGTGGCACCTGTGGCTCAAAGGAGTAAGGCACCAGCCCCATATGCCGGAGGTGGCGGGTTCAAACCCAGCCCCAGCCAAAAACTGCAAAAAAAAGAGAGAGAGAAATGTCCTGGTTTAAAGTTCAGTCTACATGTGAGTTATACATATGTCACATTGGAAAGTTTTCAGGCACTGTTCTACATTTGTAAAGGGTCTGTATTTTGTATTAGAAATGGTCTCTGCAAGTATGTAGGCATCACTTCAGTAACTTCCTGCTGGGTACAGAAGCTTTTGTCACACATATTGTTACTATTTTTCAGCCCACTTAACTAGACATCCTTTCTCTCTCTACTCTCCAGTGTCTTACATTTATAGTTTAGGAATAAATTAGGAAAATAAGACATGTACTCTTCTGGAAATGGCCAACGTGCTGCTCTGGAATGTGGAGAAATAGTGACAATACCAGGTACTGTAAGAAATTAGGATGCATCCCCCCCCTCAGAAGCCTCGGTGACCTTCACTTGGAGGTAGACTCTCTACCTTCAGACTCTAACAAGCTCTAAGCCTGTGAGGTCAAGAGTCCCTTAAAAGTGACCCAAATGGCCTCAAGCACTTAATAAACATTCTCTTAAGATTTCAGGAGATTCCAAACTAAGTGGCCGCCTGCAGTGTCTTGGTAGTAGCTGGGCCTTATTCTGGCCTCAGCCTTATTTCTACTCTCCCAGCTACTTCTTCAGGGAAAGGAATCCAGAGGTTAAAAACAGCAGGAGAAACCCTGGTAGATGATTGACAGGACAGTCATCAAAGCAAGAAATGCTAGCCTGGTCACATCTGATTCCACCCATTCTGAACTATTTATATGCTGTTTAATCTTCATTTTTAAAAATGTGTATAAACTTAAGGTTATATGAATCTCATATTATCTAATATCACATTTTAAGCTACATCAGAAAGAAATAATGGTTTATAGAAATAATATATATTTCATGACTACTTTTGGTTAATTATTTAAATATAATTTTAATTTTAAAGTGGGGGTATGTGTGTGTGTAATTTTTACTTTTTTGGCTACTTCAGTGATCTTTTCATTACTCCATTTTAGTTTTGATGAAAGTAGGAGAGCAGAGAAGTGAAATAACTGGGGAAAAGATTTTCTTGAATGCTACAAAATCCTATTAGGAAACTTCCAAGTTGTTTGGTACCCACAGAAGCTTTTAAAGCAGCTTTACTGAAGCCTCAGAACTTTCAAACAGCTTTTTCTCTGACTTTGGTCTTTCAGTCCACAATAAAAGAGCATTTTCTCATTGTATGAGAGGGGAAAACACTTTAATTAAAATGGAAAGAGAAGCTCATACCAGCTGTGAATTTCCAACTAACCACAAAACTAGACTTGTTTTTGTGTATACGTTTCACTTTCAACCAGAATCCCTTCACAGAGTTGTCTACTTCTTTCCCCATATAAACAGCGTGACTGCATATTTAAAGGGAGGTTGAGGGACGATACAAAGAATTCTGGGTCCCAAGGTCCACAGATGCATTTCATTTTATCTACATAATACAATAGTGTTATATTAAATTAGGTTCCTATATGATAGGAAACTGATTTCTAAGCAAAGATTTAAGGAAAACTTAAAAGATTAACTAAGGTAGAGGTTTTGTTTGATTTAGTTTTTGAGTTACCATGCTTCCTTAAAAAATTATTTTAATATCCTATTATTTTTTCCATGTGATATTTTTCTATTTCTAATTATTAAAGGAGAATAAAATTAGGCTGGGTGTGGTGGCTCACACTTGTAATCCCAGCACTCTGGGAGGCCGAGGCAGGTGGGTTACTTGAGCTCAGGAGTTCAAGTGCAGCCTGAGCAAGAGCAAGACCTCATCTCTACTAAAAATATAAAAATTCACCAAGCATGGTAACATGTGCCTGTAGTTCCAGCTATTTGTGAGACCGAGGCAAGAGGCTCTTTTGAGGTTGCTGTGAGCTGTGATGATGCCATGCATGGCACTCTACCCAGGGTAACACAGTGAGACTGTCTCCAAAAAAAAAAAAGGAGAATAAAACTGGAACTGCTAAAATATCCTCTAGTAAGAGATTTAATATAATACAGTAATGCAATCTTCATAAAGATTAAAATGCTTTATTTATTAACATAAAGAGATTATTATAACATGATAGATTATTAAGTGAAAAAAGCAGATGGCAGAGTGCTATATATTTGATATGAAATACTGTTAACAGTGGTTGCCTAGTAAAAGGAAGATTATAGAAGGACTTTCTAAGGAACTTCATCTTCCATCGTTAGAAAATAGAAGACACGCACCGAAAATCTGTGGGTGGCTTAAGTGCATGTAACTAACACTTGGGGATCAATCTGTATACATAGCAAGCAAGAGTCAGTGAGGGAAGTTGTGCCTGAGAAGGAAAGACAACCTCATGTGGCAGCAAATGGACCTAGGGTTGAATCCAGCCTGTCACTTAACTCAGCCTGCTTATAAATGTGTTCTCGTGTATGAAATGGAGATAAAAATAGCTATCTTGACAGTTTGTTGCCACATATATTTTTAAACCCTAGCACAAGGCATGGCTCAAAGTGGGTATTCAACACAAATCATCTCTTCTTTCCCTTTAACTCTAATTGTCTCTTGTCATGGGAGAATTTAGAGGCTCACTCAGCCCGTGGCCGTAGATCTGAGTAATGACTTGTCCAGGGCCCCACAACCAGTTAGTTGAAAAGCTGAGACCAGTAGCGCATTTCCCAATACCCAACTGAATATTTCTTTATCAAATAATGCAAATTATACGAAAATTCTGGGCATGCTGGTTCTAAGATTAAGCATGTGAGTTCCTTGAACAAGAATAGCTTTATCAGAACTTCGGAATGTCAGGTCAGCTGAGCCTTCATTATGTGAAAACTGTCTCAGAAATATATTCTAGGAGTTATTTCTCTAGGTCCTTTCCTATTTTTTGCTAAGTTCTATTTATCTCAAGGAAATTCCATATTACCCATAGTTTCTGTCAGACATGCAATAAATATTTTACATAGCAAATACTATTCAAGGCTGTTTTTGTAACTGTTTGCAAAACAAATGTAGGAGAAGCCTCTCAGGTCAAAATTATTTAATGGCATTTGTTCATATGGCCTTTCATTATAGAGATTAATTATAGAGGTAAAATTGTCAGGTAGTGGTATCTCCTCATGGTTCTGGAACCCACAGCTGAAAGGGTATTTGTTTTGTCAAAAGTCCATCAAAATTCTAATTTTATTTCCTCCACATGATTGAACATTTGAATTCAAAGATTCAGAGGTAAGAATTGAAAACATGTGTTTTATTAAACCTAAACTTTTCCTGTCAACTTCAGAAGAGTTTTTGTATGTGTTGATTTTTCTGTTGCTATGGTTTCTTTCCTTCTTGCCATCCTGTCAGTTGAGTTGAAAGCCATTGACAGTATTAATCTCTGAGGCTGAGCTCAAGCTATTTTTAGATTTGCTATACTTTGCACATAATTGCACGTGGAGGAGCAGCCTACACTTGTCTGACTTGTGAGCAGCTGGGCTGAACTGCCAGCTGTTTACAAGGGCACATGAGGTGTTCACCCTTCCAGACTCCAAGGCCCACACCTTCCTGCTCTGAACAGAGGTGTTTCCATTCATCTGTTTGACATTTAGACACTTTGGTTTCCATCTGCTTGCCCTTTCATTGGTGGTTCATACAGATAATGGGAGAGTTAAATGCCATGAATTAAGGAAAATTCTATTTCCCATGCTGTTGGTGAAAGTACTGTAGCTCACGGGATTAAAGAATATTAAAGATATAACAGCCCTAGAAATCATCCTTGGCTGTTGTTTATTTACAGATGAGGATTCCAAGGCCTAGGAGGGATGAGTGACACAGCTAGCTAGACCAGGAGTTCAGACTTGAAGCCAACCCTTGGCTTCTCTTTCACTGAGGATTCTGCTGAGGCCACACTTGAGTCACTAGTTGGATCTCAGATCCTCTGCTATTGACACTTCATTAGTGATTTTGCACTCATCATAATATTTATGTAAGAATTAGCTGAAAGAGAAGGCCAGTTTTGAAAATCAGTTTATTTGCCTCTGTAAGAACTTTATAAATCTGATTTTCTGACATTTATGAAAACAACTTTCAATGGATGTGTTTGTAAGTGTTCAATAAGCCAATTAATTAATGGCATTTGGAAAAAAATAAGAAGGAAAATATGATTACCAGACAGCTCTCTCTCTGTCAGGGACACTTTGA